GATCTTTTGATGTCAATCTCGTAAGTATTTTGATTCATCGCGAAATGTAACTTCAACCTCAGAGATTTCTTGTCTTTGCACTCATCAGAGATGGCGAAGCTCTTTTTTCTTGTTCACCTACATCATTTACAAGATCATTTGGGTTTCTACTTGACGCTTGTCGCTCGTGAGTTGAAATTCGACAGAATTTCCAAAGAAACGAAAACGAAGGAATCGGTGATCTTTGGATTAACATGGGTCCATAACAACATACTTGTTTAAGATAAGTTGGAAATACTTGTACGCACCGAGCAATCAGAGGCCCGCGGTAATTAAGCAAGAGCAGTTCTAATCACAAAAGAAGCCGATTATTGCACACTTTACGATCCTGATTGACATATACTTACGGTCTCACATCGAGATTCAAGTTATACCACTTGAGCCTTTGGTTATTTATAGCGCGTCGTTTGATCACACAGTTCGTCTCTGGGACGTTCGTCGTGGGGAACTTGTTCGTACGCTGTCACGTCACAATGATCCTGTGTATTCGGTTTCATTCTCACCGGATGGGCGTTATGTAGCCTCCGGTTGCTTCGACCGATCTGTATTTATCTGGGACATCCAGGTACCTCGTTGAGATTGAGTTATATGGTTGTGATTCTGTGGTTTTAGACTGGTAAATTACTACAAAGTTATGTTGGGGAGAAACGAAAAGGAGGCATTTTTGAAGTGAGCTGGAATTCGCGAGGAGAAAAAGTAGCAGCGAGCGCTAGCGATGGGACGGTAAGTGAAATCTAAAAGGTCGTGACTATCTTGAGAGAATATATCATTCAAGGTCATCTTGCTGGACGTGCGCCATATCAAGAATCGGCTTGCCTAGTCAGTGTGCACCACCCTCCTCAGCTTCGTATCACCGAGTAGTCCCTGTCCCACTCGTGACGTTAGGTTACGAAGTACATTCTCAGCGCATGTGCAGGACTTTGCTGTGAATATTTGATATTGTACGTTGTTGTCAAAATTCTTCGAATATCGTTCGATCTTTTGTTTTATAATTCAGAATTTATAAGTTCGGGCTAGGCGTTATGCTATTACCTGACCTAGCGTCAGAGATTCATCCGGGTTGTTTGTATAATCATATTCATATTTTTAGTTAGGTTACTTATCTCAACGTGTTCTTTGTATGTTCACATTTTCATTTTACGATGTTAAGCTTGGATTTTATTCTTTTTAATGAGTCCGAACTATTGAGATGAGCCGTATTTACGGTTGATGGTTTGTATTATGTTGTTTACAATCTTTCCACCATTTTTCTGTCAAATTGTTGCTTGTGAAAGTTCTCTTTTTAAACGGACTCAGTTTCGTGTGTCTCATTCTTCTCGCATGTGAATGGTATTTATATCTTGATGACTTGAAGAGGATACTGCACTTTATTGATGCTTGGTGCATCCTCTGTATGTTCCTTAGTTTCTATCACATTTGTTGCCGTTCATTATGAGCTTCAAATGCCTAAATATTATGAGCACAGTTCCATTCCCTGTGTATATTGAGTTCAGTACCGAGAAATTCAAACTCAGTTCTAGCTTTTAATTTAGGTGACGTTCGCTCAGTTACATTGCTTACAGTGGAAGA